TCTAAATACTGTATTTTCAAACATTTTATTTTGCATAAAAATCGATAGTCTACTAATTAGTAATTATCATTAGGTTTTAACGTGAGCGAATAGTAACAGATTTTTTTATCGACAGCAGTCAACAATAAGTATTCGATCGAAGTAGACAAGTATCAGTGGATACGATATCGTCGCAGGTATTCGCAAGAACGTCGATTGCAGGTAGACATTTCCGAGCGTTTACCCGGGCTGACTCGCGTCACGGTACGTCCATGCCCGTGCGTTTATTCTTGGCTCTTATCGAGCCGAGCCCCTCTTTCTCCGTGGTAAGGACGCCGTGACAGCTGTCGCGCGTTGCAACGACTCCGGATCCCTCAGAAAACTGCCCATCACTCTCTTCTATTGTATGCAAGTCGCCGAGCGTATTTCTCAGTCCGGCGTCCTGCACGATTTGCCGAAGAAAGGGGAGCGGGAGGAGAGGCGAGACGAGGCAGGGCATGCAACCGAGGAGGAGAAATAAAAATAGACGAGGCCGGGCGGAAAGCGAGAGTAACAGCGCTCGGGGGCTAAAAGCGTGGCCGTCGCGTCGTCGAGCTGTCTAGATGTAGAAACAGCCTGATCACAACTCGATGACGCAATCGCCATCAAGTTCGGCCGCACCGGGAGACGAAGACGAAGACGAAGACGAGTTGGAGAAAATCGACCGGTCCGATCGGCCAAGGAGCTCGCGATCCTATTAAAGCTCGCGGGTAGACGCGGGTAATGGCCGGAGCCAGCGACGACGCGACGTGGACGTGCCATCGGGATCCTCTATCTCGTGGAAACCACCACCGTTCCGATCGATACGTACGCCCGAGTCGCTGATGCATCTAAAATCTCTCACTCATTCGAATCAGCGGCTACCAGGGCTACCTCATCACGAGTTTCGGATAGCAGATTACATTCTTTTTAGCGGTGGCGAATCAATGGAGGGACCGGTGCTCGCGATTATCTATTGCAGAAATCTGCAAGTGAACGCAGGTGGAACAGGTTCGACGGATCGTTCAAGCATCACTAGTTACTCGGTTAATTACGACATCAAATCTGTCGCGATTTCTCCGATATAATTCGTACTCCTTTGTGTTACGATATTACCTGAAATTATATGAAAATGTACAGATCATCATCTTCCGATGCTTAGCACGTTGTTCGCAATTTATTTGAACGATTTTTTTAACAGATCGGAGCAACGATAAGCGGGAACGCGAGTCTAGGTGGACGTGGATACACGAACGCGACGTGACAGGTCGTGCTTGCCAAGAGTTATTGCCGCGCGTAAAGTCGAAAAGCCGGGTTCGCAGAACCGATTCACGGCGCGACAAGCGGAGCGATCGTTTGAAACGGGGCTGCAGGTACGACCGTGCCGGCGCTGCGCGATGGTAGATATCTAAATCGGTCGTTTTAACGTTTCGACGCCCATCGGCTGAATATTATTATGTAATTCGCTGGGAATACGAGGAACTAATGACGGGGAAAAAAGGCCGCGGTGCTCGGCCGTTGCGTAATTGCCGGTAATTAGTCCATTTACGAGCCGGCACGAACACGTACACTCGCGTGGGTACGTACGTACGCACGCGGCGCGGGACGTGCATATATGCACGCGATATCGGCACCGATGTGCGAGCGCACCAGGGCAAACACGCCGCCGCTGCCTCGCGCCAGCCGGGCATTAATTCTCCTGTTATTAATGCATTTTGATTGGATTTTTATCCGGCAACGTTACGTTTATTGCGCCATAGATTAACGCCGCGTTACACCGTCCGAGTCCATTAATTAAACGCAACAGCGAACTTAGCCACTCATTTGTAACGTCGCTCTAATGTCGCGGTGCGTATAAACTCTGTGTTATATTAAACCGACACGATACGTGTCGAACATCCTTGTTCTCCTCCCATTAGCTCGTCCTCGTAAATAATCCTTCTCGGGCTTCAGGAATCATGCTACATTCTGGTTTTGATATTATGTTCTCCCGATAGTTTCGAACATAGGAAAAACTGCAAGAATATAGTACGGCCTGAATTTATAATCGTTTCTCAGTTCTCAACTGCTTGTTGCATATTTTTGTGTTTCGAGA